TTATCTGAATAAATATTAAAAAGTAAAGGTGATAAAATACTTCCTCGCCTTACTCTTCTTTTTATTTCTATTTCTTCAGATAACTCAGAAACAATTAAAATGTTGGCTTTCTGTTCCCAGTAAAGATTTACTATAATTTGCAATTCATTTCTATCAGTTCCTTTCTTCCTAAGTATATCTATTAATTTATCATGCAGAATTCTATCAATTGCTTTTTCGTAGTCTATAAAACAGGCGTATGTATCCTTGTTAAATTCTTTCTACCAGAACTCTATAAGCAAAAAGAGTTTCTCTCGTTCCACAAGATTTTCTAAACCCAAACTGTGTGTTACTTAAATCTTCTTCAATTTTTTAAATATATTCTTGTATGAATTATTCGTAATTGTCGTAAATCTCCCCTTATACTCTCATACTAGTGTTATTATTATCGATAATTTTTATTATCAATGATCATAATGTAAACTAAGATCCTTTTTTAATACGTTATGTAATGTCCATTAGTGACAATCAAGGTAAAACATGATTTCTATTCTCATAAATAACCACTAAAATCATTTTAGTAGTAATAACGAAATAATATGTCAATCATCTGTTGCATAAATGTATAAAGAATAAGGTAATTATAAGTAGATCGCACAGTGATGTTAAATTTTCTTCATAAAAGGTCAACGGAATGGATAGATAGAAGGTAATCACCTGTCATATCTCGCGAGGAGTCAGACTTAATGAAGATTTCATTTGTTGTTAGCATTTAGTGTTATATGAAACCCATCTCTACCATCAAAATTAAGTCTTTTGCTATTTTATAATAATTAAAAATATATAAAATTTTTATAACAAAATGGTCATAAAAGATGGCGCCACATACAATTTTAGTTATTTATTTTGATTAATAATACAAATGTTTTTTTTTTTTTTTAAATAAAATATCATGAAATATAAACAGATGGCAACGCTAAATACTACCAGGAAAGTTAAACAACTCGCTGCTGGTTTTATTTTCTTAGTAGCAAACATTAATCTCTCTCTAAGATAAACTTATTGACTGTTAAATTATTATATACGTATGGTATATAATCATTTTCTAGTCGTTTAACTACAATAAATCTGATTTTAAATTTAAAAATATAATAATAATTCTGTGATCAAGCTCCTAAAATCTGTTTCTAATATTTCTAAATATCTAGGCCAACAATACAGTTAATTGAAATTACAGGTTTATCAATTAGTTTGTGTCAAAGTATTGTAAATTTGAAAGGTAAAATACTTATTTTAATTCCTTTAACCTTTTTGGCAGATCTTTCTACAGAATAAAATTTCTAGAAATTTACATAACTCACAATTCTTGGAAGATGATAAAATTCATCAGGTTCAGTCGATAATATTCTCATTGATTTGTAAACTGACATTGTTTAGGATTATTATAACTTTTACATATGTAGCTATATTATAAAATTTCTTTGTAATTGGCAATAGAAATATTATTGTCATTGCTTACCGGTAATAGAACCGTTTATGTACCATTTCTGTTGCATATGTAGTAACATACGTGGCACAATAATTGAAAACCGCATATTCTATGAGAATTACGGTACAAAGTTATTTTCTATAAGAAAAATTTCACGACTATAAAAGGTTTACTTTATATAACATATTCCGTGTAATCTCATCTATTAACTTATTTTAATATTGCTATAAGTAATAGCTTAAGCTTTTGTTTTGTTTGGTTTATTCAATCAGACACGTGGACGATAGGTGGAGACAGTATACTTCCCGATTTAGGTTTTATAAACATGAAAAAAACCTGAAAGACTCCATGTGGCCAGACTGTTACTAATACTAGATTTTTTTCCTTTCTTTTAAATGTAGAATCATAATCCGCAATAAACTCTGTGAATTTTCATTTATCAGAATGAAGTTCACCCTGTTTTATCCATTCTAGCGCTAACTATAATGAAACAGATAGCAATCTTCTGACAACTTTTTTGTTTAATATTTTTGGTTCAATAATTATTTGTGGGGTGCGTATTTTCAAGTAATTGTGCACGGATTAAAATGGACCACCCTCTACATAGGAATATTTACTCCATTTTTCTAAACTATAATTGTTTGGAATGTCTTCATTAATCCATATTACTTTATAAATAGGCCAGTTGGCAGCACTATAGTGAACGGTTAGACGCCATGATTGTTTTAATATTTAGTCAAGCGTTTAGAAAAACATTCGTACCGAGAGTAAAATGCCACCATTTACTTGGTTAGTCGTTACTCAAGAAACTGTATTAAATAATCACTACTTATTCCAAATTTTCCTTCATAGAGGAAAAGAAAATAGTATATTGGCGCCACCCTGAATAATAATGCCACCCTCATTGACTATCTTGCTATGTGCATCAGAAATTTAGTAACATTGCCAGTAAGTAGTAACTAAAATAACAAATGTGAGTTGAAATAATTAGGCTATTGCACCTTGTGCTGTGCTGTTCATTTCTGTGCCGATGTTGATACTATCGAATTCTTTGCTCATCCGAAAAATCAAGATATATGTACAGTACATAACAATTTCTTGTAAATACTCTCGCGCTTCTTATCTGGTATAATGCTTCCTAATGTATTCCTAAGTTTGCTGATTGTACAGATGTATCACACCTTGTAGTTTAAGTGATGAAACGGAGCTATAGATCAAGTTCCTATAGACTGGACTGAGAAAAGATTTCCAGTCCCTGTACTGGAATTGTATTTTAGGACTGTCAAAGCGTATACTTTTGAACTTGATCTCTGACTCCTCACTGACTGTTTCGACACTTCACACGTGTACAATGATTCGTATTTGAAAACGTAAAAGGAAAATAGCTCTGTTAAACATTTAAAATAATTAATACATGCAGAGAATTTAGGAAATTCGTGCAATCTCAGTTGACTGAGTATGTAAGTGAGCTAACTTGTTGAAAAATAATAAATCTTACGAAATGCTATATCAAATGTTTGGGCTGCTGCTGAAAATACAGGCATTCTATAATTGACTAAAAATTAAAAAAATCTTATTAACTGTTTAAATTCTATTTAACCATAATAAAAGGAAACATCATTTGTATAAAACAGTTAATTTTATTAACAAGGTTATATATCAATACTATATCCATATATTAATATTAAACATATTAATACAGTATAAAGTTATAAAACGAAGTAACAGTATTAATTGTTAAATATTCTTCATGCCTTTGAACACGGAAAAGATGATGGAAAGTACAACAGGGATGAAAAACAATGCATGAAATGCTGTTTCTATAGAAATTAGAATGACAATTTTGACAAATGTCGATAGCACGTACACATCAGAATACAGAGTCAATATTCCCAGTCCTGTAGATAAAGATCCTTGAAGGACGGCAAAACCAACAAGATACAAAGAATCCTTCATTTTATCGTTCGAAGTTTTGCTGGACGACATAACATAAGCATAAGACATGTGAGCTGGGTAATTAACGCTAAATCCAACGCACAGTATAAGGCTCATAATAGAAAAGATATCCAGATTGACTCCCCATAACGACATGAAACCCAACGTTTCTATTATTGAAGAAACGACAGAAATGGCGACAGTAATAGCAACAAAGAAGTTAGGAACGACCAATAAGAAGCACGCAGTTATCAAAACTGCGGTGATCCAAAACAATTGATTAATCGTATGTTTAATTGTAATGCCTTGATCTATTATGCTCGATTTAAGAGAATGCACTAGTACGGGAAACTCGGAATTTTCGGCAATTTCCCATAATTCTCTCAAGGTGTCTTTTTCTACTTGCGAAGAATTCAAATTTTTACCCATGACAAAAAATCGACTGTATAAGATGTCGGTTCCATTGTCGTTAAAGACGACGTCATTAGATAGTGACTTGGCTGCGTGTATTCTGAAGAAAACGTTACGAAGACCATCGATGAAGTCTTGTTTGTTCGACATGTTATAACCTCCCAGCGAAAATCTTGCAACAGGATTACTCTGGAACTCCATATAAAACTTTAACCAAGATACGGTGTATTGTTCTTCTGCAACATGAGGATCTTGCTCGAATCGTTTCAAAAGATTTTCTATGGATTTTTGCACTTTTCTATCTGAATAATCCATAGTTTTATTAATAATTATTTGAAAAGGATAAGCGTGACTTGTAAAGTACTTGAGTCTAATTTGAGAACTTTTCCTAAGTAAAGAACCTTTGGGAAATAAACGTTCATACTGAATACCGTGTGTAATTGAATGACAACTCCATATTCCAAATGATAAATTAGTCAAGTAGATGAAAATTACGATGACCTTTGNTATCTTAATTATGAAAATATAGTAGCATGTTTTTTAATTTCTGGAACCTAACCCTCCTTTTCGTACTAGTTCTTTGTTTCGCATAACACGGATTCGCATAACACGGCAATTTTTTGAAATGTAACTACCGTGTTATACGGGGGTTACCTGTATTGAATCTGTCCGGTGAGTCTCCTGAATGCATATCAGATATATCATTTTCTGTCTAAATTTTAGCCACAATAAAAACTTAAAATAAATTTTATTCTATTATTTTCAAACAATGTAAGCTTAACTCGTGATAATTCGGCCACTCATTTCATAGATGTGTGCAACGATAGAGTTTCCGATTACTGAGAGTGTGAGCCTAAAAAATGCCTGTCAGTTCTGGTTCTTTTTCGATTTTTAATGTTTTATGTCAGAGGCATTTTTAATGATGTTATTAAATTCCGTTGGTTAAAAATCGACAGTGAGAGGAGATAAAGATAAAGTGAGAGGAGAAAGAGGAGGTGTTTGTAATGTGTCGTATTTTGATAGGGGTAGGACTTGAACATTTTATTCGTTATAGGCATTTCAACTTTTCTATAAAACTCATTTCTACCGTCAAGATTAAGCTTTTTGCCATTTTATAATAATTAAAGATATAAAAATTTTTAATAACAAAATTTATAACAAAAATGTATCGGGGACATAAATTACTTTACTTACTACAGGCAAATTCGAATGGCTGAAGATTCTTCTCTTCTCTGTATCCACTTATCGCTAGGCAACCCCCGAAAAACGTTATCTGATACAGAAAAGTGAATATAATGCAAGTAGCTGCGTAATAACAAAATATTCTAACAAAAGGAAATGGACCCATCATTCCTATGCAATAAGAAATGAAGTTGGTAAATGAAGTTAACATAATAGAAATTCCTGCTTCACAGTATGTCGCTTCCATGCGCTTCACAACTTTATGCTTGGGATTGGTGACTCTCCAACATCCCAACAACAAGAATGCATCATCAATCTCAGTAACTGTAATAATGTTTTAATAATTAATATAACTACACTGTAATTAAACAGTTTATAATATATAATCTAATTACCTTACCAAGTACTAAATAGGGAATAGTTGCGTTCCAGAAAACATTTTCTATGCTTAATGCTGACATCAATCCAAAAGAAGAGAGAACTGCTAACCCCGCTGATATCACACTTGCCACACCAAGAGAAGGTTTACTTCGCACCCAACTATTACTCATGCACGACAACACCGAAAATATAGTCATAACTGCCACTAAGACTCCTATTTTAGGTTTCGTATCGTCAAATTCATTCCTAACTGCTGCTCTTACAAACAAAGGAGAATTTGGAAAGACAATCACATAGGTGAAATTGTATTGTTGAATCGCGCTATACACAGAAAAAGACCATTTCTCAAATAAATTCCTTTTTTCTTCGTCTTTATCATCAGTCGAATAAAGTAACAACATGGCCTCGATGCTGTCTACAAAATTGTCATTATCCAGTGTCACTCCTCCCAAATTTGCAAAATAAATCTTATAAGATAATGATAATAAATCTATATCTATGGGATATTTTAACTTCTTTCTTTTTTGAACTATTGAGTCTATACCTACCTCCGACATTACTTCGATAATCGGATTTTGGAAACATTTATTATTTTTTAAACCGCACAAATCAGAATAACCTATTTGTTTCCCGTGGCTGTCGAATGTTACATTTTGTATGATTTCGTCGGCAGATCTTATTTCTGTAAAAACATTTTTATCGAGCATGTTTCCGCCATCTTTCTTCAAGAAGTAAATCAAGAGGCAGCGGGGGAAATCGGGTGCTCTTATTTGGTCTGAAAATTCAGCTGAATCGTATGCAAAAGTATTCTCTACAAATTTCTTTGTATCAGCTATTTTTCCAGTATCGGTAGTTATAATATTATAAAAATGTTTGTTCGATAATGACCTTACAATGAATGGAGACAGAACAATGGAGAGAATTACAGGTAAAGCAATAAAATAATATGGATGTCGTCCGACCATATTTCCGATCTTCTTGAAAACAATGCAAAGGTTTTCTCTTACACACTCCACGTTCATTTTAAAGTTTCAATGGTCTTGAAGAATTCTCTTAATTTCGTTGCCTAAAATATGAATATTTTTGTGTTAAAGAACGTTTATATTTCGCGAAAATATTTCTAACAATAGTATTGACTACTCCAAAAATTACTTAAAATTATTATATAATTATGATAACAGATTTCTTAGAATGTAGTGAAATATTCTATACATTCTACATGTAATACTACTTTACACTACATGTAATATTATTTTACATTATTCAGAATACAGTGTGTTTTTATTAACATTATCTTAATGACAAAAGAGTTCTTTACAGAATTGTACGTCTTCATCATATAATGCATTAGTTGCACTGAGATGTTTACAGTAAAATAAATTAATTCGTTCAATAAAATTGCACGTGTAAATTGTTCTATAGGTCGAAGGCAATAGGTAAATTTTTTCATATCTTCTGACAACGAGAATAATAAAGAAGTATTATCTTAAGAAGATTTATCACGAAGTATATAGAATCACTGACTATAAAGAATAGAAACCAGCACTGCGTAATTTAATACCAAAACAGTTAGCTTTATTTTTCTATAGTATATGTTAAAAAAGATTGCACTCAACAGCAATACGAAAGGGATGCAGGATTTAGAGTGGCACATATCATATCTGATGTCACTATCCTAATAACATTTTGCCGGTTACCAAATGGCTAGGTACCGTACGTTTTGTATACTGTTGCTTTAAGGTTAACCTAAAGAAAAATCCAGTGGATTTTGTGTGGAAAACATAGTTGTGATATCCTTGTTGTGCTATCTGTCGGTTGCAAAATTGTTCTGTGAGATTTTGACGCACGAGTTCGCTACACGTGTAGAACGTACGAGTGTTATACACGGGTTGAAATACCGGATAACTCGATGCTGAACATGACCGACTACTTGTATTCGATGATTTTATCCCCTGATCCACTAATGGGCCTTTTTACAGTAGTGTTCATAAGTATAAAAGCATTCTCGATTGTTGTACAATCTGTCACATGTGCGTGTGGTTAGATGGGTGGCCTGACTGCCGATAGATAGCGCTGAGCCTTGTCTACTGCTCGTGGAATATATCCTTAGTCTACCTCTCCGCCAGAACCACTTTTGTGTTAGACCTCGTGCTGGTCACTCGTGTAGGTACTTTGTTCTTTGTTACTTTCAATAAAGTTTACCCAGTAACTGTACGTATATTCTACTTATTTTATACTTGTCAACGTAAGTTAACGTTACACAATCAACAAACTGTTTAATGACTTATTTACATGGATATCGTTATGGTGTGTCGCCTGCGATTCCTAAATGAATGCTAACCTTTTAGACTCATATAGTTTTTTCGGTAATTGGCAGTGAAATATCCAACCTTCGAACTTAGAAAAGGCCACAAACATATTTTCTTTGAGCATGGTCGGATGATAGTATGAGACAAATCAGCTAATTTCTCCTAATAAACCCTTCTTAAAATTACTTTCTACATTTTACCATAAAAACAAGCGCCTGCAAGACTGCTGAAAAATTGTTTCAGCATTTTCGGGACGATTTCAGACCTATATGACAAAACTTTCAGTTATATGACGATCATAATATACTAGAATTTGATTCATTCAATAATTCACAAAACACCATCCTGGGAGGATTTTCTGTGGGATAATAGCCATTATTTCGGTGTTAGACTCGTGACACAAATCAAAAAAATTCGGTTGGCAAGACCATTGGCGACACGCGAACCCATGACCAGTACCAGCGTTCAATAGTTTTATCCACTCGGCCATAGGTGAGCTCTGAGTGCTTCGTACACTAAGATGCTACAAGAACACTTCTGGGCTACCGCAATACATAGTACAAAAAGCGCAATAACTTTACACTGATGAAGTAGGGATGCCGAAAGAAAAAAATTGAAAAACACTAAATTACACGCACATACACTGGCAAATTACAGATACGAGACGTGCGTACACGAACAACAATATTTTAATTATTAATTTAAAGCAGTGTTTATACTCTTAATCAAGGAGTATAAACAATGGAGAAATGAAACAACTTCATCTTACCTTGTATTATCTTTCACTAAAAATA